CACCTGTGGGGCGGGCTGAAGCCAGTGGCCACCAGTAATGTCCATGAGCTGGCGTGGTGCTGGCGTGGCCCTGAACACAGGTGTCAGGCACACACACGGGCGCATTCTTGCAGGAAGGCTGAGTGAAGGGGACGTCCTCTGGGGCCATTGCAGACACATACAGCTCCTGCCTGTCTACACCGCCACACTCCATTAACGCTGTCACCCCCATCTACCCCCCACACACACACACCGATTTCACCACCACCCCGTCTACACAGATGTCCAGTCCAACTTATACAACTCCAACTCCGCCAACACCCCCATCTACACAGATGCCCAGCCTACCTCACAGTGTACCTGCCCCACTCCATCATCACTCTGTCTACACAGACGCCCAGCCTACCTCACACACAGTGTACCCACCCCACTCCATCATCACTCCGTCTACACAGACGTCCGGTGCACCTTATACACATACCTCAATTCTACCACCAGCACTCTGTCTACACAGACACCCAGCCCACCTCACAGACAACACACATGCCCCATAGGCACCATGGCCCCTGTCTACACCATCACCTTTTTGCCATGCAGATACCTACTGCATCTCAGACATGCGGAGAGAACCTGCCTCGTCTATGTGGACGCCAATCACGTGTCACCCACACGTGTACAAATGTGACCGCTGTGTCTATACTATCCTCATGTGCACGGGTGCCCTCACCCCCTCAGCCATCACCACCCTGTCCGCACCACCGCTGTCCTGCATACAGGCACTTGTACCCTGGGCCCTGGCCCTCTGGGCCGCAAGCGTGACAGAGAACAGCAGGTTCTTTGACCACACAGGGCGGAGACTAGGAGCTCAGAGACCTTACAATGCATGGCCGCCCCTTGGCCAGATGCACGTGGGTTCGACTGCTACCGAGGTGGGACACGTGTGAAGGGGCCTCACACAGTGCGTCCACTGTGACCCACCTTCCAGGAAAAACCACGCTGATCAAGGCCCTGACGGGTGATAACACCATCCGGCCCCAGGATCGGCTGTTTGCGACACTGGACGTCACGGCCCACGCGGGGTGGCTGCCCTCCCGCGTGGCTGTCATCTACATGGACACCATCAGCTTCCTCTCCCAGCTGCCCCACAGCCTGATCGAGTCCTTCTCTGCCACCCTGGAAGATGTGGCTCATTCAGTGAGTGTGGGATGATCCCAGAGGCCAAATTACCTAAAACACCTGTGTAACCCGGGGCCCGGTCCCTTCACACGACACAGCCTTGGGGACCGGGTCCCCTCACATGTGACACAACATAGGGATCTGGGACCTTCACACACGACATAACCCTGGGTAGCAGGTCCCTTCATACATGACACAACTTGGGGGACAGGATTCCCTCATGCACAATACAACATGGGGGTGAAGTCCCTCAAGCATGACACAACTTGGGGGCCAGATCCCCTCACATGTGACACAACCTTGGGACTGGGTGCCCTCACACACAACACAACGTGGGGGCTGGGTCCCCTCACACAACACAACATGGGGGCCAGGTCCCCTCACACACGACACAACCCGGGGGCCGGGTCTCTGGACACACACACCCTCAGGAAGGTGGTGCCTAAGCCACCCTGAGACTGAGCCCTGTCCGGTGACCCCTTTGAAGACTAATTCACAGAAGGAGGTGGAACCGCTGTCCAGGGCGACCAGGCGCCTGCCCCTCAGCCCTCAGGTCACCTGTGTGCACAGCTGTGGCCGCGGGGACTCAGGGCATGCTCTCTGTGGTCTTGCCCCCAAACCCCGAACCGCGGTGTAAACAGGAGAATGAACCAGGCCGACCTCAGCTACAGGGCGTCCCACAAAATGCCTGCACGGTGCTCAACGTGGTCAGGGCTCAGAGGGGCTAAGGACAGGTGACCGGCAATGTGACAAGTGTCCTGGGTGGTGTCCAGAATGGAAAGGGAGAGGCCAGTGACTCAGGACAGAGCCTGGAATGTCGTCACAAGTGCACCCCGGGGTCACCCCCGGCTTGTGGCACACGCCATGACTAATGTTGGCTGTGGCAGCAAGGTGAGGGCCACGTGTCCACTCTGCCATATTTCCAGAAAATCTAGAACATTTCTGAAGTAAAACATTTTTTTTTAATTTTAAGCGCATCTAAAACCTTGGAAGTGAACATTCTGGAATGTGGGTGGTGCCTGTTCCCAGGGGCAGAATTACAGGCAGCTCTTTCTTCTTGCTGCATTTTCCAAATTCCTTTTCATTTATCTTGGGAGAGAGAGGATCCGAGCCCGAGGTGGGGCTTGAACCCACCAACCGTGAGGTCATGACCCCAGCCAAAACGGCTGCACCAGTCAGATGCCCGCGTTTTCCCAATTGTGCATCGGTCACCTACCTGTAAAGATACTTAAACGTAGGAAGAGGCGTCCTTTAAAATTTGGAGTAACGCAGACTCAGGCTTCCGCGGATGATGAACAAGGCACCCGGTGGGGAGTCGGGGGCCTACCTGAGCCTGCAGGTAGGTGCCTGCTGTCTTCGTGCGGGAGCCGCCCAGGGCCCCCGATCACATGGAGGGCGGTGGCCTGGCCACAGCTGGACCCCTGATCAAAGGACACTGCGTGGGCCCCGGGCCAGCTCTGGTCTCAGGGAGCCCCCGCCCCCTTCCACCGCGACCAGGGCAGGGGACAGCGAGGGGGCCGGGCAGGCTCCCACTCCCACCCCACCGTGTGGTGCCCGTGAGAGCCCCCGGCCGGCGCGGGTCCTCCTGTGTGACCCCCGGAACCCCGTCCCCAGCACGGGGCCCGTCTGCTCCCCAGGATCTGGTCGTGCACGTGAGAGACGTGAGCCGCCCCGAGACGGAGCTGCAGAAAGCCAGCGTCCCGGCCGCCCTGCGGGGCCTGCGCCTGCCCGCCTCGCTGCTGGACTCCGTGCTGGAAATTCATAACAAGGTCGACCTGGTGCCCGGGTGAGTGGACCCCAGCCTGCCCCCCTCCCCCCGGACCTCATTCCCGCAGGTACTGGTGACGCGGCCCGGTGACCTGTGGCGTCCGCCGCCCCTCACCGACCCCGCCCCGCCCCGACGGCTTTCCACCGAGCGCCCCCTGCTGGTCCCGGGAGGGAAAGGGGCCGTCCCAGCGCCTTTGTCCCGGCTGCCTTCCCTCAGGTGCCTGAACTCAAGACAATCGCGATGCCATCGGAGGGGCGGCGTGTTCCGAACCCCCTCACCCCCACAGGCCCCCTGTGTCACCGCAGCCGTGTTCTGGGGTCGCATGTTCTGAACCCCCTCACCCCCACAGCCCCCCCCCCCCCCCCCCGTGTCACCGCAGCCTTATGGTTTTCTCCGTCCCTGTGTCCCTGTCCAGTGGGGTCGCGCCCTCTCCTGGGACCGTCTGACACAGTCACAGTTCAGGCCCCGTGGGCGGGGCGGGGGGGGGGGTTCTTGGGGACCCCCGCTGGTGTTCCCCGGGCTGAGTGGGGTCTGCCCGCCACCCCGACGCAGGTACAGCCCGGCAGGATCCCAGGCCGTGGCCATGTCCGCCCTCCTGGGACACGGGCTCCCGGAGCTGAGAGCCCAGCTGGAGGACGCTGTCCTGAGAGCCACAGGGAGACAGGTCCTCATGCTCCGAGTCCGGCTGGCGGGGGCACAGCTGAGGTGCGTGGGGCTGGCCAAGCAGGTGTAGGAAGGGCCGGGCAGAGCACGGGGCAGGTGCCGGGTGTCTGACGCGCCTGCAGCAAATCTGGGTTAATGACTTGGCCTGCGGGGCAAGCGGCCTCCTTGAGCTGACAGGCATGCAGGGGGGTGGTTCGTTGCAGTAAGTCCCCCACCAGTGACAGCAAGGCGGTGTGCGGTTGGGGGACAGGGCTCTGCGGGGACAGGACTCTTCGGGGACAGGGGACGGGGCTTCAGGGGTAGCGTTCTGTGGGACGGCGCTCTGCCTGGGACCAGTTCCTGGGAACATAGCCCTTTGGGGTCCTTGCCCGCCTCACAGACGTGTCCCTTGCTCACTTCCTCAGCTGGCTGCACCAGGAGGCGACAGTGCAGGACGTGGACCTGATCCCTGATGCAGGGGCGGCCAATGTCAGGGTCGTCATCAGCAGCTCTGCCTACAGCAAGTTCCAGAAGCTCTTCCTGGAGTCAGCCAGCCAGTGAGGGAAGGGAGGCTGTGTGGCCTCAGCACCGCCTTGGGGCGTCCTGCCCCCTCAGGTGCCTTGCTCCCTGCTGGGCCCGAAAGGCTGGTGGCCGCCCCCTTGCAGCCAGAAGTCAAAGGTCAGGTCTCAGGGTGACTCCGCGGGGATGTGCTTGTGACCTGAGCGTGGGTTCCCTTCCACGCTGTTCCAGCTACAGGATATTAAAAGCTCTGCTATTGTGTCTGTAAGCCAGCCTTTCTGAGTCTTCCAAGGGCCAGCCGCCAGGCACACGGTCCTGCCAGTGTGGCGGGGGTGGGAGGAGCCACTTGGGGCTTTCCGGGTGCTGGTCCCCATAAACTCAGGGCTGCCAGACCTCCCTGTTCCCCACCGCAGTGTCCCGGCAACAAGGACTGTCTCCCAACGACCCTGAGGCCTCCAAGGGCACACACAGGTCAAGGAGAAACAAGGGGACGGGGCAGTGTGGATGATGGGGCAGTGTAGACAGGACAAGGTGTGGACAGGGCAGCCCAGCCCATCCTGAAACCAGGAGACTGGCCAACCCCGGGGATTCACTCGTACGGGGACCCCGAAAAGACCACAGTGGGCAGGGGAGTGTGCTGCGTGGGCCACCCCCAGCCCCCAAGGTCCCGCCTGGTCTGCCTGCCCCTGGTGTGTGCCCACTCTTCCCTGAGGCCCCGCAGCCTGGCTGTCTGCCTGGGACCCACACCAGGGCCACCCTCTTCCAACCCCCGACTCTGTTCTCACCACTGCAGCACCTCCCCGTGCAGGAGACACAAGGAAGGGGTGCGGGTG